TTTAAAATTGCTTAAACTCTGAAGCTTGATGAACCTTACATTACAGTTAAGGGTAATTCTGCATTATTTCAGAAATGATTTATGTAAATACATAAATCATACAGTTTGGACTCAAATCTTTACCTTGTAATTCTGTGGGAGTGTGTTCTAAGATACACATTACCTAAAAGTTTTCATTTTGTCAGTTTTTAATTGAATTGACCTTTCTGTTATACTCTAGGAAACATAAAAGTCTTAAACTCCTAAACGTGCTTTGCTCTAGTTCTCTTACAGAGAGTGAGAATTTTACATACGACATTTAAGCAGCACTGGTAGAAGGTATCAAGTGCCTCATCAGTGCCTGCCGTCGGGGTACTGCTTTTACCTCGTGTGTCAGATCTGTGGATACAACTGGGGTTTCTGTAGCATTTGTTAATCCATCTGAAAGCGTGGCTTACAGATGTAAGCTATGAGGGAGCTGGAAGAGAGCCTTCCCTACAGCTCTGGATTCTGTTTCAGAATTAGTAAGGTTATTCTTACTACTCCAAATGTAACTGATCCTTAGGTAATGCGGATTCAGGTGGTAGACAATTAGCAACCAATCTTATTTTACCTTTTCTTACAAATACAGCTGTCGTAACTAAAAATCCATAACTGACACAAATGAAATAAAACTTAAAAACTTGAAAGCTCACTTGCAAAAGAGACCTTTGCCTACAAGACTCCTTTCCTCTCTCCCTCCTTCTCTCTTGCCTTCTCTTTCCCACTAACCAACCTTCCTTCCTTCGTTCTTCCCTTCCTTCCTTCCTTCTTTCTTTCCTTCCTTCCTTCCTTCCTTCCTTCCTTCCTTCCTTCCTTCCATTTATTTCTTCTATTTCTTTCTTTCTTTCTCTTTCTCTCTCTCTCTGTATCTGTCTGTCCGCATTTTCAATATTATTGCTGGTGAGTGTAACGAAGAGAAAGACAGAATTTTCTCCTGTGGAAAAACTAACAATTACCACAGTTGAAAGTAGGAAACGGAACAGCGATTTGAAGTTACATTTCATCTCCATGCCTGTTGGCTTTCATTAGGAGAAGTGAGACGTTCGCTAATGGTTTCACCTTTACCATTTGTTACATTTGCTGTAAGTCTATGAGCCTTCCCTGAGCTTCTTCTTTTAGATCAAGAGTTTTTAGGTGTGTCAGTCACGTTGCAGCCTCGTTAGTGTCGGTGTGACATCCCTCAGGATACAGGAAAGGGTGGCGCATTGCTCTTTGAAGCACAGCCACAGCACACATTAGAAAGAAGCAAGATAGATCAAGTGTATGAGTCCAGGAGCCATAATATATCATAGTAGCTACGTGATTTACCTGTCTGCTGTTCACAGTCACTGCTGTAAGAAGTGACACTTGCATTGTAACATGCAGAAACCCCGATTGAGCCCATTTTCATCACAGCAGCAGTTGGGTGGGTGCTACTGAGCATGCAAAGAGTGGGTGTGACTAAAGGAAAAGTCTGAAAACCTCAAAAGCTCAAAAATTATTTCTGCTTCTGTCAGTGCCTTCTGCTTCCAACCACTTGCAGTCTCGGGTTAGCTGCCCAGCTCTTATTTTCTTCTGGCTTTTCCCCACTGGAATAATTACCCTCCTAAATAGTCTTTCAGTACCAATGATCTTCACTTAGCTAATAGTTTTGTGGAAGTCAATGTCTTTATGTTAATTTTCTCTTTTCAAGTGAAAAATAAAGTATATGTGGGATCACGAGCAGCTGCTGTTGAAGAGGAGTTACAGCTGCCCTCTTCAGGTAGTGGAGAACAAAGTTGCCCTGCTAGTCAGGTCTGTGTTGCCTTCGAGGTGATGGTTGTAATCTCTAAAATTCTGTGTGCAGCTAAGATGAGGTTCCCATTCAGAAATACATACTTAACTGTGTAAGCCTGACTTTGTTGTGTATTTTCCCTTTGAAAACAATGGAAACTAGTAACCTAATAGAGGTTGGATGTCTGTACCTTTGTGGTTTTGGATCCACATCAGTAAGAACATATCTATACTTTTGTGTACGTATGCAAAAGTTCTTAGAAAGTTCAGCTTGCTGAATAGTATGTGTACTCGAACCACAATAAGAGTATCCAAAAATGACATTGGAACAAAGTAGCTTTTATAAATGTGTTAGCGTTTTTGTTCTTGTTTGTTTACTGTGGGTAGGAACATTTCTCATATTTGTGATACCAAGTCAGAGCAAGACTGTTCCTGTCCCAAGGGCTCACATCCTGTTTCAAGAGACAAGTCGATGCCATAAAGGGAAACACACTGACGGTTTATTATGCAAAATATTAGCAGCAGTATAAGAGCAGCCTTAAATCCCAGTTTTCCCATCAAGCTTGTGATTTTCTTAAGGCTCTGTCTTCTAGAATTGATTTATTGACTTAGTTTTTATATGTTTTCATTGGTTCTAGCACACACAATTGCGGACAAAACCAAATATGGAAATGTGACACTGAATAGATAAGACACCGTCACATGACAAACAAAAGCCCTCCAAATGTTTGCTTCTTAATTGTAAGCCAATCTTTTCATTTTGGAGGGAAAGAAAAGAGTTTAAATGGTTGAACCTAACTAGTGACTATGGTAGAGGACAGTGAAACAGCCATACCAACATCTCATGGAACAGTCTACTAGCACTTGTGGGAAATTTAAGTTAAAGGCATCTGATTTAGTTAAATTGGGATAAATTTCAGGAACAGGATCCAAAAGTGCTCTTAAAATGGCTGGAGTGTGGGTTAGAAAGCTTCTGGGGTGGATATATCAAGGCAGGCTATTGAAGTGTCCATATTGCTACAGGCTTTGGGTTATTTTTTCCATGAGACTGCAGAGCAAAAATATTCAGTGGCACAAAAGCTTATGAAATACGTAAAATCAAAGTAATTGTATAGACCCTAGCAGTGACGTCTGTTCCTCTTCAGAGCTCAAATTTTGCTCTCTTGCTTCTCCTCATATCTGCAGTTCTCCACCCTTAATAACTTAGCTCTAGTGTCCACCTGAGAGAAAAAAAGGCCTTTCAAATGTAAAACATAAGTACAACGACCCTTTTCCTAATTTCCCCCTTACAGATGCTCAGACATTTCTGGGATCATAACACGGGGGGAGAGCAAAGGTGACAAATCCAGTGTTCCCTTTGCCATATTTAAGTCTCAGGATAATTTACTTTGTTGAGATCGTAAGCAAGATGTCAAAAATAACTGTTTTCTTAACACTTTTCTTCATGGCAAGCATGGTCAAACTTAGATTGTTCTGCTATTCCAGAGCAATCCCTTGCTCTGGAATAAAAGGAAGTCTGTATATACTGTTGATTATGATAGTCAAGGTGGTAGTGCCACCATGCTTCCCCACTAAGCAAATGATTTAAGCACTTTCTAAATGCGGAAAACCTAAGAATAATGACAATAGTAAATACTTTTTGTTTAGCGTGCCATCGCTCAGCAAATTGGATCGTGTTAGGCTTCGTCTGCTGCCTAATGCAATGTAGCATAGCAGATAAAATAAATCAAATGGGTGACACTGTGTTAGACTTGAAAGATGGTAGCTCTTATACAGCAACTGATGTGAGAACATGTCAATGAAGTAGCTTTCAGATATTTATTGAAGTCTTGAATCTCTGAAACCCAGCAAATGCATATTTTAAGGCCTATGAAAAAAGCAACTACAAATACAGGAGTATGCTTATTACTGACAAATCTGTTGCCTGAAACAGAATTCAGCGAGATTTTGTGTTTTCTTTGTGTGGTCAATTCATTTTTTCATTTCTGCAACTGCTTCCTAGAGACATTGGCTTGAACTTCAAAGTGTACTGCTACAAATGCTTTAGTGATTATCATGGTAGCTAGACTCAGAATTTTTAGTTACAAAAGTTCAATAGTGCCTACCAAAGATCATTTTAAGTTTTAGCTACCTAGGATTTAATAATATGAATTCAAAGAAATAGTATCCAAAAAACTATTTGTGATTGTTTTTATCATTGTAATAAAAAGTTATGTTTATTTGGGTCAATTTTAAGGAATGTTTTAATTTGTATTTCTCTCAACTGTTTGTTCATTTTGAATGCTTATAACAATTCACTGCATGATTCATCACTTGAGCCTTTAAAAAGTTGTTCTGCTAATTATCTTTCAGTAAATAAGCATGGAGTTGCAGTAAGGGTTGTAATCAATTAGGAAGCCTATGAAGTCATGCCTATTCTCTTTACTTAAAGCTGTATTCTTTTTGCTTCTGTTTTGTTTGCTCTATGAAGGCAGAATGCTCAACTCTTCCTCAATATGCAGTTTAAATAATTTTTTATTTGATCCTTGTGATGGCATTGTGAATTACATTTTTCAAAAGCATAGGCCAAAAATTTGTTCAACAGCAAGTATTTTTAATTTTTTTTAAATATCTGATAAAAGACTAGGAGCGCCTTTATTTATTAAAATAACAGGTAGCCTTCTCAAATAAGGTGTTCATTCTATAAAACTATAAGGCATTTTCTTAAAGTTTACAAATGAATTGTTAAATTGGTAAAAAAATAAAAGTGCTTCTTCAAGAAATTTGTGTTCTAGATCAGATTTTTATTTGTATTTGCACAATAACATGCTGTGAAGAATAAACGTGCATTTATGAAGGGGGTGTGCCCCCATTAGTTTCTGGATTTGCTCTCCATTAATTTTAATTATGTAGGAGATTTTCTGGTAGGATAGTGCTAAGGACCTTTGGGTACTATGCCTGTAATTTTGGTTTTGTAATCTGTTAAGATTTCTTTTAAGTTTAGCTTCTGTGAGTACTTATGAGTTCTAGAGATCTTCACACTTGTTCTTCAGATTATTAAAATGCTTCTCTAATGTATCTTCCTCCATAATTGACACGTATTCATAATTTGAAATTAATGTTACCGTTAATATTTGAAAAAAAAAAAAAATCATTAAATGTGTTCGGGTTTTGTTGTAGGTATTACATGATAAAATCAGAACACAAAATTATAACAAAAATATAATTAACTTTCTTTTTCTGTGTAGCCCACTGTTTGTGAACGGGAGCTCTGCGTATTTGCTTTCCAAACATTAGGAGTCATGAACGAAGCTGCTGATGAAATTGCAACTGGGGCTCAGGTAGAATTATCTAATGTTTATTACATGTCTGACTTTCTAGACTGAGTCTTCTCAGTCTCTTCCAGTATTTATTTTGACTTGTATTCGCCATATGAGTGCTCTTTGGTAAGTATTATTTATTTGTCCACTCTTATAGCTGTAAATACACTATTTTATGCTTGGCGTTTTCAAACGGTACTAATAGGGAGCTTCCATTGTTTTACTTCCATGTAATTAGAGTAACCCTGTTCTCTTGTTCTGTTTTATTCATTCAATTAGGTCACCTGGGTTGTTAATAAAGGCAGCCATTGTCATTTGGAGATAATTCCCATTTATTTTCACCTAATGAGCCATTACTACTCTGATGCAATTAATAAGCTACTTCCTGTTCATGGTGTTGGGATGCAGCTATCCACTGAGCATCTGTTGTTTTGATCATTAAGTAACAGTAGGAAAGTCCTTACTGATGTTGCTACATACTCAAGGATCAGGAATTTAATATACGCTTGCTTCCTGATTCTAAGTTCAGTTATTAATGTAGCTAAAACAATGTCATTGCTTTCTTTCCTAATTTTGTCAGTGCCTTAAACCAAGGTATTCAAAACTATGTTTCTAAATCACAATTTAACGTTATATTACAGTAAATTCACAAGTTAAAAGGTCTTATGTTTAAGATTCTTTTAAGATCTTAAGTTAAAAGTTTGCACATCTTCCGGAAAAGTGCATTCCTCTTCTTTGGAAGAGGAAACGTTCAGTTCAGTTAACTTTAACAAGCACTAGTAAGTGTAGCCACTGGAAAGAAGCTATTTGGCTAAATGCCTGAATACCGCCTCTGGGCATATCCTCAAAGGAATAAACTTGCAGCAGCATACACCAGCTTCTTCACTTGAGAATGTGACTGCGAGATCTGAACATCAACTCTTCATCTGATGTCTGAAGACTGTTAGATGGCTGTATTTGCAACATCTAACATACCAAACATTGGGGTACCTGTGTAAGCTTGTCAGAAATGGAGAGAGGTGTGCTGATGAAGCCCCACCTCTTCGCAGCCTGAAGTCCTCTGAAGACCTCGACTATGTGTTTCTGGGGAGCTAGAGTTTTATGTTTTTAATTCAGGCACTTACATGTACATTTAGAATCACAGAATCATAGAATAGTTTGGGTTGGAAGGGACCTCTAAAGCTCATAGTCCAACCCTCCCTGTTACAAGCAGGAACATCTTCCACTAGATCAGGTTGCTCAGAGCCCTGTCCAGCCTGGCCTTGAATGTTTCCAGGGATGGCACATCTACCACCTCTCTGGGCAACATGTTCCAGTGCTTCACCACACTTACTGCAAAAAAATTTGTTTCTTATTTGTAGTCTAAATCTACACTCTTTTAGTTTAAAAGCATTACCCCTTGTCCTATTGCAACAGGCCTTGATAAAAAGTCTGCCCCCATCTTTCTTATAAGCACCCTTCAAGTATTGAAAGGCTGCAATAAGATCTCCCCAGAGCCTTCTCTTCTCCAGGCTGGATAACCCCAGCTCTCTCAGCCTGTCCTCATAGGAGAGGTGTTCCATCCCTCTGGTCATTTTTGTGGCCATCCTCTGGACCTGCTCCAACAGGTCCATGTCTTTCATGTGCTGAGGTCTCCAGAGCTGGACACAGTACTCAAGGTGGGGTCTCACCAGAGGGGAGTAGAGGAGCAGAATGACCTCTGGGACACATCTCATCATGTCCCATAGAATTCTGTATGTTCAGGTTCCTCAGGTGGTCATGAACCTGATCTTCTCTTACAGTGGGAGGGACTTTTCTCCCCCAGTCCCTGCCTTGCGGTCTATCCACTGGAGAGGTGTGGGAAGAAAGATTGACAGTGAAGACTGAGGCAAAAAAGTTGAGTACCTCAGACTGCTCCTCATCTGTTGTTACCTATTTGCCAGTCTTGCTTATCAGGGGCCGTATGCTTTCTTAGACCTTCCTTTTCAGACTGACATACCTGTAGAAGCCCTTATTATTATTCTTTGCATCCCTTGCAAAGTTCAGCTCCAGCTGTGCCTTTGCTTTCCTGACCCCATCCCTACACAACCAGGCAGTATCCCTATGCTCTTCCCAGGATACCTGTCCCTGCTTCCACTCTCCATGCATTTCCTTCTTACCCTTTAGGGGAGACCAATACCCTTTAGGCCATGTCGGTCTTTTGCCCTCCTTTCCCAATTTCTTACACCTGGGGATTGAGAGCTCTTGCTCTGTATGGAAGGTGTCCTTAAAGATCTGTCAGCTCTGTTCTGCCCCCTTGCCCTTGAGCGCAGTTTCCCAGGGGGTCCTATTGACCAACTCCTTGAAGAGCTGGAAGTTTCCTTTCCTAAAATTATGAAGAGATTAGGTACAAACTTACATGGTAAATTACATGTACATTGTACATGAGGTACAAACAAGTAGCTCCCACTTCTCTTTTTAATTACAGCTAACAGGAGAGGTGGTCCTGGTTAGCTCTCACTCTGTGTTTTGTGTAAGTATCGCTGTAGCAGGCATATGCGGAACTTGCTCTAGATCTCCAAAACACCTGTGCATCTACAGAGCTTTGCTGCAGAGTACTGAAGTGATTACAAGCTTAATGGTGCTTAAAAGAGTTAGGTAAGAGGTTCGATCAATTGTCCCATTGGACCTAGGTGACTAAATTTCAGTGCATTTTACACTAGTGATAGCATTGCATCCATCTCACTACATCTGATCTGGTTGAGCTCCCTTCCTGTTTGCAGAAAGAATTCAGCATTTTTAGGGTTTGATTTTTCTGAGCTATTTTTGACATTGGTTTAGGATAGTGTGAATCACAGCATAGGCTGTCAGCACAGTGATTATTTTCTCCATTGATTATGAAGAGCGCCTAGGGTGACTAGTAAGAGGTGGGTGTTGACATTGTGAATCTCTGCATTTTGTCCGATGAATCTTCCTCAAATCATTTTTTGTAATGCAGGAGCCTAAATACAGGCTCTCATTATTAGAAATCACATCCTGTTTTTTCCTGCTGTTCTTTCAGCTAGTTTCCTAAGTCATACACCCCTACTTTGTCAGCCCCAATATTCAGATGGCTCCTGCTTAATAACAAGTGATTGTACTTTCTAAAACTTTCAAGCCTGAACTCACCTTGGCATATTTTAGTCATGTAGTTGAAATGCATGAAAATTAAATGCCTGATTTGTTGATAGTTCAGACTTCCTGTAGACAGTCTCTGGAGAGGGAGAGGCACTGTCTGAGAGACTGATGTCATAAGAGGGAATTGTCATCAGCAAGTGTCATCTTGTCCTCCTTGAATATATTTTAATCCTTACTTACGTCCTTCAGCACCTACTGTTAAGGAGGAGAAATTCAGGCCCAGGTATAAGGACATTTACTAGATCCACAGCACTTTCTGTTACCAAGGAATTCATAGGCAAGTTTTTATTATAATGTTTGTATTAGACCTACCTTCCAGTTTAAGTTGCTTTGTATTCCATCAGCTCAGAATAATTATTTCAGGGGAAATCGAGCATTTAACTAAGCCTAATCTACACACGTTTTTCCCCGTGTCAGAGCAATATGCAGATATCATGGTGAGAAACAATATAGGAGTCAACAGACAGGTTAAAGGAGAGCTTTGGGATGATGTTCTAAGAAGGACTGTGCCAATTTTAAGACAAAGTCCATGGTGCAACTCATAACGCAAGACAACTTTGAGTCACTGTTAAGAGATCTGGGGACAAACAACACAACAAGTGTTTTGCGACTGGAGGCTAAGAAGTGCTTCTGAGAAGCAGGATGTATGAACACAGGCTCAATGTCATGGTAATACATTTACACAGTTGCACGCCTGTTGCCTGACCTGGCTGCGTATGTAGACTCCTGGTCTCCTTTGCAAATGCTAGTGCAGATGCCCTGTTTTGAAACATTCATCACACTTACAGGTATTATAAACTGGAAAGTAATCAGAGCACCGTGGAGGAAGGGATCATTATTTAAATAACTTCATTTTTCAGTATATGTGAGATATTTAGTAACTGGAACTAACAGAATATTTTTAAACTGATGAGAAAGTTGTCCATTCATGCTAAAAGAGCAGAGGAGGAGAATGGCAACAGTATGACTCAGCACAGCGCAGTTCCTTTTCCCTTTCATCATGATTCTTATTTTCATTGTGCTTGTCTAAAGGACCATCATTTTTTTTTCCTCCAAATGGTACAATGGGAGATATATAAAAGCTTCTAGAACAGCTTGAGCTGTGAGATGAGATCTGATTCTTGTGGAGTTGTGGGAGAAACCAGGGATGCCTACTAAGTACGACTCATCTCAGCTTTTCCTTTCTTTCATGGAAAACTCTGTTTTTACACAGGAATGTTTTCAGAAGGCACAGAAAATACAGGGGGAAACGAGCTAATTTGCAGCTACATTTTTTGCAGCTACATTTTTATGTAGCAACTTTGGATTTCACTATGAGCTGGATTTAGCTGTCACAGCTGCCAGAAAGCTGCATTCTCTCTGGTTTGTGATTGCTGTATTCTATTTTTAACCTCTGAATTATGACTTTTGAAACAATTGCACAGAAGTCTGTTGCTAAGTTATGTATGTGCCTGCGTGCACGTAAGTGAACACATGCTTGTGGACACATTACATGTATGATCTTAGCGTGAAATCTTGGAAATCATACTCAAAGCCGTGTTGAAGTTTTGTACAACGGGATGGAAGGAAGAGGATCTCCCAGTGTGAGCTGTGCAAATGACTGTTAACTCATGCACTGTTGTGGCTTTAGCAGTTGTGGCACTTGTTTACAAGTGTTGCTGTGATTACAGTCTTCAGGAGAACAGCAGGCAGTGGTATGGATTCACAAACCCTTCCTCATTCTTGAGCAACATTTTTCATTGGCATAATACGGTACAGAAACGCAGATCCAGCACGACTTCATTTCCCTAGAGAATTAATTTAATCCATGAATTAGCACACATGCATAAGAGAAAGCAGGGCTGCAAGTAATGTATTTGACATGGTAATACATTTAGGACCAGATACTGATCCTATTTATGCACCTGGAATAATGTACCAGGGCTGAACCTGTTGAGGTCAGTGGAAAAAAGTCAGTCCTAAACTATGTTCTGAGGATAACATGGTTTGGGTGATATAGGTAACAATGAAATACGAAATTACTATAATGTGTAAAAAAAGCAGATTGGAAGATACAATATGAAAGTACATATATCAAATAAATATTTTTCTTTTTCTCTAGGTGGTTGATCTGTTAGTATCCATGTGTCGGTCTGCATTAGAGTCACCTAGGAAAGTTGTCATTTTTGAGCCATATCCTTCTGTAGTTGATCCAAATGATCCTCAGATGCTGGCCTTTAACCCCAGGGTAAGTAGATGTCTTTCATTATGTCATAGCTTAGTTTTAATCATGCATAACATTTCAAAGCAAAGCCGCCTTCTGGAGGAGTGTCCTTTATTATAAGAGATACAGCTCCAGAATATTGCACAAGCATGTGACTTTTGTAGCTTTTTTATTTGTCTTTGAGAAGGTATTTGAGTATTAACTGTAATTTACTTTCAAAGTTACGTTGACACCAAGAAATTCTTTTAGGGTACAAATGGTAAGTGCAAAATTTTATATTCTTAGTCTTTCTCTCAGTGGGCACATTGGACACAAATGTGTCCCGCCTTTGGGAGTTGTAGACCATGTAAATGGGGGGATTTCCAGTCTATCTTTTTATTTTTAAAGTGGTTATTGCTGTCATCTCATTTTCTATTTGTAAGCAATTATGTCCTTAAATGTAATTTTATCAAATGTTGACATAATAGTTGAGTTTTGTGCACACATCAGTTTTGAAGTAAGGAATTGTGTTTGCACTACTTGCTCTTCAGCCGGCCTATACTGCCTCTGAGGGAAGCCCTTAAGAAGCCGTGAACTATTACATCTCACTTGAGGCATCCCCAAGGGCAGAAATGAGAACTTTGGATGTCCTGTATTGGGATGCATTTCTCTTTTTCTGAACAAAGGCCAGTTAGCAGTCGTGCTTCCTCAGGAAGGGGCGAGTATGTTCTGTAGCATGTGGGAAGAAAGACTTGCCAGGAGGTGCTTGGGAGGGGGCTGATGAGAAGACAGCTAGTCTGGTGGCTGGGCAAGGTGCAAGTTTGAAGCAGACGAGGGAATGTGAAATAGGGTCACAGTAGAAGAGGAATGGAGAGAGCCCCTGGGCTGGCAGGACCCACGCTGCCTCCTCTCAACTTCTTGCCTGCATAGGCGAAGTAAAAGCCCGTGGGCAGAAGTTGCCAGGACCCAAAGATGGGGAACAGTGAAGCTCCTGAAGGTGATGTGACGTGTGGAGCTGGTGAAGCATGGACTGTTAAGCTCATCCTCTCAGAAAAGGTAGATGGTCGCGGTTCCCAAGCAGAAAGTATGCAAGGATCAGGGTGAGACAGAGGGACAACTGAAGGACCTCTGGTGTTTTATAGAGCTGTTAGCAAAGTAAACACATCTGTTTATTTATTATTTTATTTAAAATCTATTTGGTCACTGCTGTATTTAACTTAATAACATGTCATCCAAATAACTGTCAGAATCCACGTTTAGATACAAATATTTGTTTAAAAAGTGAGGTGACTTTTTGAGTGTGTTGGAGCTTCCAGTGAAATTCAAAGAAAAAACATCATGATAATATTTTTTTTGTGGAATTTTCCTGGACTATGAATGAGAGAGTCAATGTGTGAAGTGGAAGGAAGTTACTGGTAAGAAATGTTTGAAAGGATCGGTTTGGTGAACGTTCGTCCTAGCTTTGGTTTTATACACAAAGAATTTGGGGTTTTGTAGAGCCAAAGACTAATATTCTTTTAATTTATTTCCTTATTTTATGCTATATCAGAAGAAGAATTATGACCGAGTCATGAAAGCATTGGACAGTATCACTTCTATTAGAGAGATGACCCAGGTGAGTTTAAAAATCTTTACGTAACTTAATCACTATTTCTAGAACAAGGAAGGTGTTTGTATTGCTTGCCTGTGATGGGTGGGGAAGTCAATAGTATCACCTCCTTCCTATGGAGCTGTAGTAATATTAAAATGTGTGTTAACAGTAACAAACCTAGAGTATCCGTAATGGCAGTCAAATAAAAGTGATGAAGTAGAACTCTGTTTACATAAGAGATAATAACAGCAGAATGGGACATTGTAATGCGATAATCACCAACTGCTGCATTTCTCAAAATATCAAAGCCAAAATGGGTCTTTTATTTCCAAAGCAAAAGAAATTGATTTTGTGACAGTGTTCTGAATGATAGCTTTATTTCTGTTATAGTAAACCACTTGATCAGATAAGTATGGTTGGGGATGTGGAAGGTTGGGTCTCTTAGGATTACTGCCATATCATTGCTCAATATTCACAGTGGGACAGAGCCTGATAGCAGTACTTATGTTCATCGTTACACTTCATTTCCCAAACAGCCCAGTTGATTATAACTGATTATTGAAATCTCTCCCATGTACCTTGCTTTTCCAACTGCTATGTAAATGTAACCTCATAACAGTTTATAAATCTTACTCTATATGTATTCATAAAGTACTTGGCGATTCTGAAATGAAGCATGAGGTGTATAGAGAGGAGTAAAATAAACTGAAAATTAAAATTCACGTATTTTTGTTACTTAGTGTAACATCTTGTAAAAATTGAAAAAAAATCAGGTATTTCTGTTGCCTAATATAATGTCTTTTAAAAAGAAAAATAACCACCATTTTGCTTTTTTTAAATAAAATAATTCTTGGACTGAAGACTTTTAAAGGGATGCTTTGCACTGTGATTGAAATCAAGAATGGTTTTCAAAGGGATTATAAACTGATACAGTATTTTACTTTACCAGTTTATACCGTGAAACAGTTAAAAAAAATGGAGTGGATTATCTTGGGGTATTTTAAGTGACTTAATTTTGTGAATTTCCAGTCCAATTTCTTAATCCAAGAGTCAAACATAAATAGATATCTTCTGCTGTTCTCCCTGAGATCACCGATGTTTGCTATAATATACTAATTTTGATGCTAATTATATGCTATTATTTTAAGTCAGGGAAAATAATTACTATATTAATTCTTCTTGTTGTCAAAACACATTTATAACTGTACAACGCTAAATGTCAGTAAAACTGTGATTTCAGCCTAATAATGAGTCCCATGTATTTGTTTTAATAGATGAAATCATGGGCAATGTAACATAAAATTTAACCTTATGATTTCAACTAGAAATAAAGAACATAATTACTCTTTTCTAGGCACCTTACTTGGAAATAAAGAAGCAGATGGATAAACAAGACCCGCTTGCACATCCTCTTCTACAATGGTATAAAATTGACTCACATGAGATGATAATTATTACCAAGTTTAATGAATAATCACTTCACCAGGGTAATTTGGTATAAACTCACCCTAAGAATTAACGACAGGGCTGACATTTGCAACTGCAGGTGTTTCTGGACTGTTTCTGGACCTCATCTGGCTGGGCCCTCTGAAAACACTGGAAAGACTCCAGCTTATTTGTACAGCCTCTGTTCTCATTTTCTAGTCAAGATTTGGTCTACTTCCATCTGATAGGTTCAAAGGCCTGCAGCTGGGTCCTTTGTGGTGGCCATTCATAACACATTTTTAAGGAGAGAAGTTCTGTTTGGTTACCATGTCTAATACATCTAACTGTTTCTTATTTTAGGGTTATTTCTAGTAATAGATCACATATTGTGAAGCTACCGGTGAATAGGGTAAGTGTTTGTGGGTTCTTTATTATTTTCTCATTTCTCATGGATCGTATTGGTAGTTTAGGTGGGAGTCTTCTAGCCACATGTAGGTGTCTACATTCAAATTAATTAAATGGCTCCCATTAATAAACAAGGAACAGAAACAGGCAGTTTCAGGTCATGACATAGAATCATGTTGTGGATATCTAAAATAGGTCAAAGGAATAATGCTCAAAAAAAGCCTATTTGAGGTGAGTAGTTCAAATACAAGTGGTCTACATTGTAGTCATCTGAGATTGGGTGAGAACAACTTCACTATTTGATTTGTTACCACGTAGAATATTAGATATAGAATTGTACAGAAAGCAGTGCACACAAACACTATGTACCAGGAGATCCACATATAAATACACCTTAAAAAGAGTATAGCTCTTGAATTTTAGAGGGGTGGTGCTGAGATTCGTTTCTGAGTATGTGTGCCTCTGATCCTCCGATTAAGAACATGGTAATCTGCAACCTTTCAAGCCTGAACCTTAATTCAAAGCCAGCTCTGATCAGAATACCATGATGAAATTGATCGATTTAATTGCTTCACTAGAGCCATAATAGGCTGAAATTTGTTTCAGAAACTTCCAGATGTTTCATAAACTGCAAGACATTTTTACTGTTTGATTTCAGGTAAAAACTATGGTAATGAGACCAATTTCAACTTAGTTCATGTAGTTATTTATATGCAGCCCTGTATTGTGTGAAACAGCATGGTATCTTAAGAAGTACCATTGTGGAAATACAATGCTTTTGTGTTAATCAACTTCTTTTCACTTGTGCACTGTTATATTTTACAGCAACTGAAGTTTATGCACACTCCCCACCAGTTCCTGCTTCTCAGCAGTCCACCAGCCAAAGAATCCAATTTCCGAGCTGCTAAAAATCTCTACGGAAGTACCTTTGCATTTCAGTAAGTACATATATTCATATTAATCAAAGGTTATCAAAATGCCATGCTATTTTTTTGTTCTTGCCATTTGAGGTTTACAACTGTGAATTTATTGTTTTAAAGGATTACTGATTTCAGTTTGCATTTTATACTGTGGATTTTAATGTTTTCTTTTTTATTTTTTCAGTGGTTCACACATTGAAAATTGGCATTCCATCCTGAGGAACGGCTTAGTTGTTGCTTCCAATACGAGGCTGCAGGTAAGTAGTAGACTAAATAGACTTTAGCTAAGCTGTGTGTGCTTGATTACGTACTAGTGTAGGCAAGCTTTCAGGGCCAGTGGTTCTGGTAGTCATATAGGTGGAAAAAAGGGATGATTTTAAATACCATCTTGTTTCCTGGAAAAAGTACTTTTCTGATGCAATTAAAGTGAAGTAAAATGTCTGCTAAAATGGCTAGAAAATCCCATTGCTGGAGTCAGTATTTCAATATTAGATTGCAGAGCAGCACCTCCAGGAGGCTTAGCTTAGTACTGCTTAAAAGCAGTCAGGATTAAAATTTAGAGCTACATAAACTATCTCCGTATTATAGGATCCAAGAACATACTAGATTTACAGGAACTGTGTTTACAGCATCTCCTCTTCTCCTTTGGTTCCCTTGGGAATGGAAATATGAGTGTACTTGCCAGGAGGGAGCTATTGCAAACTTCAGTTCATTTTCTCAGCCTGAATCAGCAGGAGACCACTATTGCAGAGCAAAGCAGGCAGTACCCACAGGATTGGGGAGCTGTAACTCAGAGTACTTCAGCATCATGGTTTTGACAGCTCTTCCCCAGAGCTGAGTCCATGATACCTTGGAGGAGGATCCCAGGGTGCCAACTAAGGATCAGGGTGTATTTGGCCATGTACAGAAGCACCCTTAGCAGGCATCATCCATAGTAATGTTAGATTTAAAAACAGAAAATACAACATATATATATATAAATATATATACATGTTAAAAATATGTAAATCTGATGTAAAATTATGTTTTGGTTTCCAGAATATACTGTATTTTAGTTGTATATTTGCAGCATGATTTTTTTTAAAGACTGTTTGGAACACCATTTATTACCAGGGAATAAATTAGTGCAGTGGGGCAGATGCGACATTACAACCTGTTCCTATCATTATTATTTTGTCCAGATAACTAAATTATTGTTAAACAATCACTCCGCTCTTTTTCAGCTCCATGGTGCAATGTTTGGAAGTGGAATCTACCTTAGTCCGTTGTCAAGCATATCATTTGGTTACTCAGGTGATATTTATAAATCACTCTAAAGTTGCAGAAATATAGGGGGGTATCTTAGTCTACTGCTTTTCTTACCAGCTTCACTGTTTACAACACTGTATTAAATTTTATCTTTGTCGACCAAGATTTAATTTATTCAAAAAAGAGAAAATCTAAATTCCCTTATTAAATATCTGTCCTCATTTCCCAAGGTGCTGCGTATCTTGAAACCGTGCTTGAAGTAAATAGTAGCTAAATCCGGATGCTGTGTGTAATGGAACAGGTCTTGATTATGCAGAGGAAATCCAACTTTGTGATTTTTTGTTGGTACCTGCATAAGTCTATCTGATCTGACAAAACAAATGCTCATCAATAGACATGTTCAACTGTGTATATAAGAGTATTTCCAAGTATTGCCATGTCAGGATTAAATAGAAAGTACAGGACAGTGTGTTTATTTTAGCATGAGAAGGAGAGGGAACATAATTTGTCCCACTAGTAATTCTGAAAGTGAGTTGTGCAGATTTGTCCATGTAAGAATTAAATCATAAATACAAGCACACTAGAAACAAGATACACCAATGTGTACACTAAGAAACTTAAGAGATTTTATAATATGGTGACTTTTTCCTTTAGGTGTGTTGCATTTGCCATTTCCTCAGATATAAAAGTGCCGGTATAGTTGAATGTGTGTTTGTGCGCAAGTAGATAATTATGAGACTTTTAGTTATGCTCTCTGACTTTCAGTATTTTTAGTTATATTTTTACTTAATGTCACAAGTCATCTTAAAAGCTCAGCATTTTTTATTACTGTTTATTGAATTTCAATATCAATAATCTCTACATGCACTTTAGCTTTTCAGAGATTACACAAGTATGGAAGCTTTTCAGGACTCACTAAAAGTGCAGGTTGCGGTATCATTATCTAAGAAAGTGCCCTTCTTTTTGGACAACCCTCCTTTGTCAACTTCAATGTGTTTTGTTTCATCTTTCTACCTTTCTTGGTCCCTTCCATCCCGTCTCCTCCAGAAAGGAGGCCTGTGTTCCTATGAAGTATGTAATACTTGTTGCAAATAAAACCCACAGAGGAGTCGTACACTCCCTGTTCCTTCAAAGAGTCAAGATTCCCCATAATTCAGTCTGTGTTTGTAAACTGCCAAGAAATATGGGGTACTAGAACAGCAAGGAAGCCTGTAGAAGCATACAATACAATATTTTTTTGTAAACTGACATGAGGAATATAAGAGACATCTAAGGCACAAATGTAGGTGTTTAGATTTCTGATATGGAAATTGGATCCAATGTGGCTGACAAATAATTTAATACTTTTACATGCAGATAAATTAATTAAACCAAGGTAGACTTTAAAACTTTAAACAAATTAATACTTCTAAAAGTGAATTAGACTTCTAATAAGTCTGAAAAAAGTTTTAACGATTAATATTTAAAGTTCTTTCTCTCGTGATTTTACTATACCACCCACAATAAATCAGACTGTGTTACTTCAGCGTGAATAGGATCAGTTAGACTCAAGACATGCTGACATGCAACTCTGTTAAGTAACCACCTAAAAGCATTCCTGAGCTGAATTCAGTGGTATTTAAGCTCATGTTTATCTGCTTTTGCACCTACTTAATGCTAACTTGACTTTCCTAAGGTCTTTGCAATACGTGCAGACATACTGGCAATTTGCAGGATTAAACTGAGATATTCTATGACAAAGTTAACTAAATTTTTGGGTGTCATGCAAAAGGCTATGATTCCCACTGTGTTACCTGTTTCATTCTCCACACTTAACTTTGCTTATTATGGTATTTATATGCCAGGGTATCTTACATGATTGTAATCTTCCTAGGGATGAATAAGAAGCAGCAGAAGGTGTCAGCTAAAGATGAACCAGCTTCAGGCAGTAAGGGCAGTAATACGTCACAGGTACAGTACATCAGCCGTCACTGGAAGATTTATGGGTTTGTGTTTGGGATCTTGATAGCTGAAAAGGAGATAATATTCCCTTTGTGAAAGCTAACAGTTTAATTTTATTGAACAAAATCAACGACTTCAGAGACTGCAAACTTTAAATACAGCCCAACTGCTTTTAGTAATAATTTGCGGAGTATACTGCAGGTCTTGTGGTCTTCTTTTCCAAGCAGGAAAATTTATGAAGAGAATGAAAATGAAATACAGATTGCATCATGACACTTAGGAAGGCCTTGCTTTCTGAGTTCTAGAAAAAGAATTGAGAGTGGTTATTGCTGGAAAATGAGTAGCATTTCATATATAGCGAGTCAGTTTTTCTTTTTCATAGTTTTTGCATATTAAAGCACTACAATTCTGCTTTATCTAAAGCAAACTTATAGCGTTTATGTGCGTGGCTAAATTTTGAGAAGGAAATCTTACATCTGTCCCCATATTTAACACAGAGAAACTACAGAATAATCTGGCTTTGGAGAAAGGTTGGTATGTAACGGCAGAAACCCTCAGAAATGGAAAGGCCAGTAAAATATCAGGGTAGAGGCCAAAGAATTGGTGATTACATTCACCCTTTTTTTTTTTTCTGCTATCAATTTGTTTATTGGGAGCACTGATATTTCTAATAATATTGTTCGTTCTGTAATAATTAGAAACTTTTCTCTCTGGATAAAGGAGTTCAAATCCCTCCTACAATAATCCAAACAAGTAATATAAATGTTCTTAGAATTTCTATTAAATCTAGAAATACAATAGAAATGTTTTAGAAAGACTGCCTCTATCTTTGTTCACTAATAAACCACTGAAAATAGCCCCCTCCTTTGTTACTTTTTCACTCAGTATGTCTTACTGCACTAATTAAGTTTTCTCATGTTTTTACATCTCAGTCACAGAAGAAAGGACAACAGTCACAATTTTTGCAAAGCCGTAACTTAAAATGTATAGCCTTATGTGAAGGTAAGCTGAAAGCCCTTGAAAAACTTTTTTTTAGTCATAGGCACAGTGTTACTGGATGCAAATCAGTGAGACCTTTAGTTGCAGTACTGGTAGTTTTTAGGTAAGAGACTACTGGTAGGCGTACGAGTACTTGCTTAGTAGCTGACCTTTATATTTCATAGAATCATAGAATGGTTTAGGTTGGAAAGGACCTTGAAGATCATCGAGTTCCAACCCCCCTGCCATAGACAGGGACACCTCCCA